GTGGCTCTTTTGGTGTGTCGGCTAGCCCTCTGAATCTTGCTGTGAATGTGGTGGGTGGCGGCATAACTAGTTGGATGCGCAGTGGCTTATGTGGCACGGATGGTGGTGGTTGCGGCACCTGTGGTGCAGGCTGCGGATTAGAATCGGTCTGCGCCTCGGTGTGGTGGTGCGGTTGTTGATGGAGTTGGTCGGTTGGTGGTGTCCGGTGTTCTTCAGGCTGCTCTTGGTTGAGCTGTTCGCTGTCGATGCTGGTGGAAGTGATGTTGCTGCTGCGGTTTCTGGTCGGGTCACCGTGGTGTTGGCAGGTCGTTTTGGTACGTAGTGCGGTTGCCACATGTCAGTCGTCTGACCAGCTGGGCCCTGGGATGATGACTAGCCATTTCGACATGTGAGTGAATGGGTGGGTGGTAGTGCTTGTCAGAGTGGTCGTCGCCGGGTCATTGATCATGTTGCGCGCGTTCTGTTTACATTGCGAGCTTCAGCCTGAAGTCGAAATCTTGGCAAAATTTCTGCTACAGCATGTGCTTGCTCATCAAAATGGCGGGCTGTTCTCTGTTGCCATGGTGTGGTATTGGTGGTGGGGTGTCTTGATCGATTTGTCTTGCGTCGTCAAGGAGAAGTTGCATTGGGAGGTTCAGGTTGGCTTGGGTCTGGCTGACATGGGGCATGGGAGTCGGAAAGGTGAGTGTGATATTCTATACGGTGGGTGGCCGTTGGCGGAGTACTTATTGATAGGTTTGTCAAAACGTCTGTGCCAGTGGTCGATGATGTGGAAGTCTCCTGGGAAGCGCTGGGTGTAGTACTTGCGTGCGATGTTGAAATGTGCGGCTGTCGCATGGTCTGGGTCGTTGTTGGCAAAAGGTCTCCAGGGGGCTGGGCAGTGCATCTCGTGACTGACTGACATTGGGCATAAGTCGTGTAAGTGTGGGCTGTTGTTGTCGAAACAGGCCTAATTGTCGTGCTGGTCGAAGTCGGCTTGGTCGGTAGGTAGGGAAGGGTGTGGACTGCGCGCTGTTGGGGGCGGCCTGGGCTAGGTCAAGTGGGGGTATTGTGTTGGTTTTGTGCTTGTGTGCTCGGAATCGGTGTAGGGCACCAGTCTGTTGGTGCCTGTGCAGCGTTTGCTCCGATGCTTGCGGACCACTGCTTGTTGTGCGGGGACGGTGACGTGAGCAGGCATTGCATTGGTAGTGTGTCAGCTGCTTGTGGGGAACGTTCGAGTCTTCCCGTGCTGGTCCATTTTTCGAGGTTGATGATGATGTGTGATGGTGTAAGTAGTGTGTCGACGTAGTCACGTTGCTGGTACGTGGTAGGTGGAGTGATGTGTCTGTGGGTGCGGTCAATGATAACTGTTGCCCACGGAGGGTGTAGGGCAGCCGCTCCTGAGATATGTTTTACGTTTTCTAGTAGGTGTGTGAACGAAAGAAGTCTTGAGCCCGTGTCGATGTTGATGTTGGGAGTGGGCATGCAGGAGATGAACAGACTGGGGTGCAGGTTTTGTGAATCGTGTTGACGCCGCTGTTTTGGTCGACGATGAAACTGTAGCGTGTGTTGACCTGCTGGTTGTAGATAGTCTGCGTGCTCTCCGTCAGGTCCTTGAGGGTGTCGTCCTTATGTGGTAAAGTTCCATCAGTCGTATTTTCTTATGTTGTGACAGTAGTGGTAGCTCGGCCCATGGTATGCGAATAACCTGCTCGTTGCGGATTTCGCTGTGGTTCGCTTCGCCGTCTGTGAAGGGTAAATTGTCTCTGCGTCGATGTAGTGGGCGAAAGTCTGGGATGTCGTACGGGCGATTAGACCCTGTGTTTATGAATCGCTTCGCTCACTCCGTTGGCCCACATTGCATCACTGCTGCTAGATGTTGGTGTACCAATGGTGGGTAATACTCGGGGAAGGCTCGATATGTCGACTCGGACTTGCACTGCTGGGACCCTCATGGGAGCCTCTGGAGCCCTCTGGGGAGGCCTCTTGGGCTATCTTGGGACTCTCTTGGGCTGTCTTTGGGGCCGTCCTTGGAGCATCTGGGGCTGACTTGCGGCGATATTGGAGGCCTCTTGGGCCGTCCTGAGCGGTTGGAAGCTTGAATAGGCGGTAACGCCAAAATCTTTCAAAAGTCTAAGCAAAATCAATGAACTTGATCTCTTCTGGCCCTCTTGGGATCCTCTGAGTGCCCTCCTGGGGCGGCGTCTTGGGCGCCTCCTGGGCCGTCTTGAAAACAAGTTCGGCCATCTTGGAACGCTCTTAACCTGAGGCCATGGGGCCTGCCACATACTTGGCGTCTCCTTGGGACGTTCCTGGGGCGCTCCAGGGGCCCCCAGGGCCGCGCCCAGGAGTTCCTGCATCCGTGACCCTGACCCGCCGGGACCCCGACCTGCCGTGACCAGAAGCGATGCCCAGAGGAATTGCCTCGATCAGGGAAGTGGGCAGCACACAGAGGAAGGGTCCCCCAGTGGAGGCCTCTTGGAGCGTCTTGGGGGCCTCTTGGCGGTCCCGGACGCCTCTTAGAGCGTCTTGGGTGCCTCGGAGAGCTTCTTGGGGCCTCTTGGGGGTCTCTTGGGAGCCTCTTGGAGGCCTCTTGGGCGCCTCTTGGGGCCTCCTGGAGCCTCCTGGGCGCCTCTTGGGGCCCTCTTGAAGCGCTCTTGGGAGCCGTGGGAGCGCTCTTAGAGCCCTCTTGGGCCATCTTGGAGCCATCTTGAGGCCTCGGATGGCCATCGGAACCGAACAGGCGAGAAAGCCAAAAACATTGAGTTCCCGAATGTTTTACAAGGATTTGGGCCTCTGCGGGGCCTTCTGGGGGGCTCTTTGGCCACTTGGAGCCGTCTTGGAGCGGTCTTGGGGCCTCTTGGAGCATCATGGGAGCCATCTTGCGGCATCTTGGGATATATTGAGCCATCTTAGAGGTCATCTTGGGCTCTCCCAGGCGCTGTTGGAGTCATCTCAAGCAGCGCCCCCCCCCCCCAGGAGGCCAAAATGTGGCCAAAACCTTAGTAAAATCAATGATTGTGGCATTCTCGCCGAGGCCTCTTGGAGCGTCGTGGGTGCCTCTGGGGGGCCTCTTGGGGCCTCTTGGAGGTCTCTGGGGATCCTCTTGGGGGCATCCTGGGGGCCTCTTGGGGGCCTCTTAGGGGCCTCCTGGCCACCTCTTGGGGCCCTCTTGGGGCACCCCTGGGAGCCTTGGGAGCGCTCGCGGGGCCATCTCGGAGGAGATCGATCAAAGAGGGGGCTGCCCTCAATTAGCGTTGCCCCCCCAAGAGGCCAAAATGGGGCCAAAACTATAGTAAAAACAATGATTTTGGCTTCCTCGCCGAGGCCGTTTTGAACGCTCCAGCGACCCGCGGAACGCCCCGTCCAGGCCCAGGGGCGGGATAGGGGGAGGGGTAAACCCCTCCCCGAAGGGGAAGAAGGGGGTGGAAGAGGAAACACCCCAAACTACCTACGTCCTAAAGGGCTGGTGGGATTCTCACCAGATATTCTAGCACGCCTTTGGCCCGTTAGGCCAGCGAAATTCATCGCTTCGCTCACTCCGCTGGCCCATATTGTATGACTGTTGCGATATGTTGGTGTACCCATGGCGGGCGAGAAGGAGGGTAAGGGGCTCGATAGGGGAGGAGGAGGACGAGGAGGAGGGGGAGGAGGAGGCTCTCGACGGCTTCTTGGGTCACTGTTGGGACCAAACTGGGTTGCGAACAAGACGCCTCTCGGGTCTCTTGGGACGCCTCTCTCGAAGGCTCCTTGGGGTCTCTTGGGAGGCCTCTCGGGGACCTCTAGGCGGCCTTTTTGGGCCCTCCTGGGGCCTTTGGGGGGCCCCGTGGAGCATCCTGTTGGGTTTGCCGGGATCTCTTGAGGGCCTCTTGGGGGCCGTGAGCTGGTTTGCTTGACCCGGCCTGCGCAGAGAGCTGGCACAGCCTGGTAACGCGTCAGGGTCAGAAGGGCCCGGGCGCGAGACGAGCGAACAAAACGTCAGAGAGTCGGTTGCGAGCAACCGTGACCACAGGCACCGCCACCACCAGGAGAAGGAGAAAGAGGGAGGCTGTAAGCATCGGGGTCATCGTCGGCCGCCACGCCGCCCTCCACGCCGCCGACAGCCCTCCTATTATCCCATGCCATCCCCTCCTTCCTCCCCCTCCCCTATCCGCCCCCTCACCCCTCCTTCTCCTCCCCGTCCACATCCAACTCCTACTCCTGCTCCCCCTCCCCCTCCTCCTCCTCCTCCTCCTCCTCCTCCTCCTCCTCTCCTCCTCCTCCTCCTCCTCCCCTCCTCCTCCTCCCCAGGTCGCTCCTCCTCCTCCTCCTCTTTCGTTTTCCTCCTCCTCCTCCTCCTTCTCCTCCTCCGCCTCGTACTCCTACTCCTCCACCTCCTCCTCCTTTCTCGTCCTCCTCCCCTGAGAAGAGCGCCAACTTTACAACTTCACCGATCATGGCGAGGCTGATTCTGGGCCCAGGATCTTTGTGTACGCTCTCCCGGCCTTGTCAGGGATACGTTGACACCGATCTTGGACCCAGAATGGCTTTGCCAGGATGTCGGCGCCCTCCGACTATCTCCTCCTCGTCCTCTTGTTTGAACTGTAGACTAACATTAGGTATGATGCCTGTTGCGTTATTCCTCCTCCTCTCCCCCTCCTTTTCCTCCTCCTTCTGTTGCTGGTCGACTACGAGGGTCAAGGAAATTTATGTGTTTGACCGTTTGTATTGTCTTCCTTTGGTGGCCTCTGGGAGGATTATCATTGCCACGACCGGTTTCCCTCCGCGATGTTCTTGTCAGAATGCATTCCAAGAGAGGTCTTTGGGCGATTTTGAAGACGGAGGCAATCCTCCTCCTCCTCCTCCTCCTCCTCCTCCTCCTCCTCCTCCTCCTCCTCCTCCTCCTCCTCCTCCTCCTCATGCTCCTCCCTGTCCGTAGCTTCTTTGGCCAAGCCGTCGTGACCGAAGGTTCGGCTTGTCGCTGCCTCCACCCTCCGCCCTCTTGCCAACCACAGCAGCGAGACGGCACCGCGCGGGCTCGCATGCCGCAGCGCGCCCGTGCCCGCACTGGCGCACGCCGGGGGCTGCCCTGCGCGGCCGTGTGCCTGGCGCTGCGCTGGGGCGTGGCCACCGCGGAGGCAGAGCGGCAGAGAGCTGCCGAGGCCGCGGGCTTCGCAGAGGCGGCACCCGAGATCTTCGCGCTCGCCGCGGATGATGTTCGGGGTTGGCGTAGCTTGATCTCCGCTATGGTCAAGCCAGCGACGTATCACGTGCCACACAGGAGGCACGCGAAGAACACGCTGAACGAGTCGATGGCGGATTTCCGTCTCGGTGCCGGGTCCCTGCACGGCGCCCTGCTGGACGCGGACGTGTTGGCTCTGTTCGGAGACCATCTCAGCGCCAGCCGCGAGATGTTGCTCGAGTGCGGAGGCGGGCCGTGCTTCAAGGCGCCGCTGCGGAGCGCCACGGGGCAGGCCTGCACAGTGGGGATCACGCCCGGGCGGCCGACTTGCGAGACGGCCGACCCGGAGCTCTGCTTCCAGACCCTGATGCCTCTGTTGCAGCGCGCCGTGGTGCAAGCTCAGAAGAGGCTGCAAGAGCTGCAGACGAAGCTGCGGGCCGCAGAGCTCGCCAATTCCGCACAGGCTCCGCAGCTGCTGTGGCAGTCGCGCGCGCCGCCCCGGAGTGGCCACGCTCTCGCCGCCAATCGCTTGGTGGACGAGCTGCTCGGCTTCTTCCTGGCCGTGCTCGAGCGAATGGACTACAACCCCCGCCTCGCGGCCTGCCTCGGGACCCCTGTCGGCCAGGAGATCCGGAAAGCGGTGGTGGCTGCCCTGGAGCACCGAGACGTGGTGGAGAGACAGTTGCGGGCGCTCCGCTGGAATTTGGCCACAAAGAGCTTGGTAGAGGGCCGCCACGGTTGGCACTCCATGTTCAGCAGGATGGCCTCCGAGGTGAGCGAGCAGGCGCATTGGCTCGTCTGGCGCCTGCTCCAGCTGCCGGTCCACGTCCAGCTCTTGCGTGACCAGCGCGGCCAGGCAGAGGCGTTGCGGCTGTTGCCGACGGAGCTGGAGGAGGGCGCCGAGCAGGAGTACGGACTCCTGGCGCGCGAGGCGATGTACATGGGCGCTGCGTTCGACTCGGCGGAGCCCGACCGTGGGCTGCTGCGCTTCATGCTGGCCGAGGTGCTCCGCAAGGGGGACCGCGTCTGCGACCTGGGCGCATTCGTCGGGCGCTACGCGGCGTGGCTGAACGACACTGGTCTGGTGACGGCCCACGCCTACGATGCGGCCCCGGGAATCGAGCAGCACACGCAGGGCCGCGTGAGGCACGCCAACTTGGTGGATCCTTCCCTGGACGTCGGGCAGTGCGACGTGTCCCTGTGCCTGGAGGTCTTGGAGCACATCTCCAAGCAGGGCGAGGCCCCTGCACTGCGCAACCTCGGCAGGCATTCGGGGCGTGCACTTGTGGCGAGCTGGGCGTTGCCAGATACACCCGCTGTGGGCCACGTCAACACCAAGTCCGCCGTGGAGTCCAGGGAGGCCATCGAGAGGGCGACGGGCCTGAGGCAGGACGAGACCCTGACCCGGGCTGCGCGGGCAGCGTCGGAGGTCAGCTGGATCAGGGAGTCCGTGGCGGTGTTCCTGCGCCACTAGGCCAGGAAGCGTTCAGGGCTCATGCTCATCCTCCTTCTCCTCTTCAGACCCCCTCGCGATGTGCACTAACACGACGAGCAGCTTTTGACAATTTTCGGCCCAGGGGGCCCTTACAGGGGGCCCTGGGGCTCTCCAAAACTTATTCTGGATGCTGAACCAAACCCAGTGAAAGGGTCCAGTCTCCCTGGGCGACGCTACATCCTATTCGCCTCATCGGTCTCCCTTTTTTCTCTTCAGCCCAAGGCGCCAAAACCGTCTCCGAACCCCTGACGCTGGGCGCCCAGAGTCAAGACATGTGGCCTTTCGGCAGGAAGACGGCGGCCAAGAGCCTGGGCCACAAGAACGTGACCATCATCCTGAACGGCGAGCCCAAGTCCGGCACCACGTGGTTGGAGTACGTCGCCAAGGATCGAATAGTTGATGGAGGTGTTTGCGATTGGTGGCACATCCGGGAGCCCGTGTTGCATGCGGGTTTCTTGCCCAGGAGGTCGAAGAGATCGTATGCTTGTTCCCCAATCAGAGCTTGCCTCTGTAGGGGTCCTAGCGGATTAAAGGGTTAGGTGAGGTTTGTCGCCGATGTCGGTGGCTGGGCCCGGGTGCCCGGGTGCCCGGGTGCCCGGCGGTGCCCGGGTGCCCGGGTGGCTGGTGAGGTGCGTGGCTGATTTCGGTGGCCGGGCCCGGGTGCCCGGGGTTGCCCAGGTGCCCGGGGGTGCCCAATAACCCAATGGCCCAGTAGCCCTATAGCCCTATAGCCCTACAGCCGTATAGCACTATGGCCCTATAGCCCTAGAGCCCTAGAGCCCTATAGCTATAGAGCCCTAGCCCTATAGCTCTATAGCCCTATAGCCCCATAGCCCTAAGGTTCTATAGCCCCTATAGCCCAATAGCCCAATAGCTCTATATCACTATACCCCTATAGCCATACAGCCCATATAGCCCCATTGCCCCAACAAAAATATGGTCGCCCCCCCCCGCACCCCCCAAACCACCAAAACCGCAAATCCAATATTGATCGTCTCCTCCTCCTCCTCCTCCTCCTTCCTTTTCAGGGAGAGGTTGATTGCCAGGTGTTGGCCCAGAGACCCTGTGAAAACATAGATAATCCAGATAATGTTGAAGGTGTTGGTAAGGAAACCCGGTGAAAACACAGATAATCCAGATAATGTTACAGGTTGTGGTAAGGAAACCTTGTGAAAACACAGATAATCCTGATAGTTCTTGTTTTTTTGAAGGCGGGCGTCCCTCTCCCTGCTCCGTCACCAGCTCCACGCCCCCCCCCCCCCAGTGACAATGCGCCAGGCAAGAACACCTGTGAAAAATACAGATATTCCTGATATTTGGACAACTCTTCGTAAGGAAACCCTGTGAAAAAAAAAAAAAAAAAAAAAAAAAAAAAAAAAAAAAAAAAAAAACTGATAATCCAGATAACGTTGAAGGTTTTGGTAAGGAAACCTTGTGGAAACACAGATCGCCCAGCTAATGTTAAAGGTTTTGGTACGGAAACCTTGTGAAAACATAGATAATCCTGATATGTTCAAGTTTTCGGGATATGGGCGCGCTGCAACAAGGCTGGGGGGCGCAGGAGGAGGAGGAGGGACGCCCGTCTTCAAACACCAAGAGTTATCAGGATTATCTGTGTTTTCGCATGGTTCTTACCAAAACCTTTAAAATCATCTGGGTTATCTGTGTTTTCACCGGGTTTCCTTACCAAAACCTTCAATATTAGGATTATCTGTGTTTTCAAAGGGTTTCCTTGCCTAAACTTGCAAGCATATCAGGAGTAGCTGTGTTCCCACAGGGTTTCCTTCAGAAACAGCCCGTTGTAAGGCTGCTGCTGATGCTGCTGATGGTGCTGCTGCTGGTGTTCCTCCCCCTACTCCTCCTACTCATCCTCCTCCCCCATCCTCCTCCTCCTCCTCCTCCTCATCCTCCTCCTCGCCCACTTCACCATGCCATGTGAAAACACATGGATTCCATAGTTATTGTGTTTTTCTTTTCTGGCGACGGGCACCCCTCCTCCTCCTGCTCCCCCAACCTCCTTGTAGCGCGTCGGTCTCCAGAAAACAGTAGAATATGGAATACCTGTGTTTTCACATGGATTCCTTACCAGCACCTTCAAACATATCTGGAATACTTGTGTGTTCACAATGTTTCCTTACCGAAACCTTCAAACATATATCGGATACCTGTGTTGTTTACAGGGTTTACTTACCAAAACCTTCAAACATATTTGGAATAGCTCTGTTTTCACAAGGTTTCCTTACCATAACCTTCAAACATATCTTGAATATCTGTGTTTTCACATGGTCCTCATAAGAAAGCATTACCTTTTAATGCTTTTAAGCAAGTAATCATGTTGATCCTTTTGTAGAGCCACCACAAAGGGAATCCTTATGCGCGACCGCCTCAAAAGGAATCTTTTGGCAAGGCCGCCGCAAAGGGAATATTTTAACAAATCCGCCACGAACGGAGGAGGAGTGATACGATGAGGAATGAAAGAAAATGATCATGAAGGGGGAGGAAAACGAGGAAGAGGAGGAGGAGGAGGAGGATGTTGCAGAGGCTCCGGAACTCCCCTTTTCAGAAAAAGACTCTCCCGTCATCGTCGTCGTCGTCGTCTGTCTCTCTCTCTCTCTCTCTCTCTCTCTCTCTCTCTCTCTATATATATATATCACTCCCCTCTCTCCTTTCTCTTTCTAAGTAAAAGAAGAGGAGGAGGAGGAGGAGGAGGAGGAGGAAGTAGAGGAGGAGGAGGGGGAGGAGAGAGAGGAGCTCTCCCCGACTCTCTCTCTCTGTTTCTTTCCTTCCCAAAAACATGTGTACAAGAAGAGGAAGAGCAGGATTTCAAGTGGAGCAGATCCCAGATCATGAGGATTCCTATTGAATTCGAATAGGATTCTCATGCGATTCCAATGGAAACGGAGCACATCCCAGATCCAGAGGATTCTTGTTGAATTTGAATACAAATCGGATACGATGTCACTGGGAAATGGATGGAAGTGATCCAAGATCAAGAGGATTCCCATTGAATTTGGATGGCTCTAAGCAAACTTCAATAGAAACGGAGCACGTCCCAAACATAAAGGATTCCTATTGAATGTGAATAGGGCCATGATCGGATGCCAATAGGAGCGGAGCAGATCCCAGATCATCCCTAATGAATGTGAATAGGATTCTAATCGGATTTCAATGAGAACGGAGCAGGTCCCATATCCAAAGAATGCGTATTGAGTTTGATCAAGCTCGTGATAGTATTTCAATAGGAAGAGCAGATCTCAGATCCTCCTCCTCCTCATTTTCCTCATGAGAGAAAGAGTACGAGCGGCCGCAGCAGGCGAGGAATACTCTTTTTCTCTCTCTCTCTCTCTCTCTCTCTCTCTATTCCCCTTTGTCTTTCACGCAGATGCGGAGAGGAGGAGGAGACAGGAATAGGATGAGAGAGGAACTAACTCTCACCCCCATCTCAATCTCTCTCTCTCTCTCTCTCTCCCCTTCTGTCCGTCTCTCTGTCCATCTCTCTCTCTCTCTCTGTCTCTCTCTTCTCTCTCTCCCTCTCTCTCTCTCACTCTTTCTCTCTCTCTCTCTCTCTCTCTCTCTTTCTCTCACTCTATCACTAAAAGAGGAGGAGGAGAAGGAGGAGAAGGAGAGAGGGGAGCCCTCCTTGATTATCTCTCCCTCTCTCTCTCTCTCTGTGTCCCTCTCCCTCTCCAAAACATGTGTACAAGAGGAGGAAGAGAAGGACTTCAAGTGAAAAGGAGCATCTCCCATATGAAGAGGATTCCAATTGAATTCGAATAGGAGTATCATATGATTCCAATGGAAATGGATCATATCCCAGATCCAGAAGATTCCGATTGAAATTGAATAGGAATCGGGTACGATTTCAATGCGAAATGGAAGTGATCCCGGATCGACAGGATTCCTATTGAATTTGGATGGGGTTCTAAGCAAACTTCAATAGAAACGGAGCACGTCTCAAATCCAAAAGAGTCTTATTGAAGTTAAACCGGGCCCTGAAAGGATTTAAATAAGAACGGAGCAGATCCCTGATCCACAGGATTCCAAACTGAATCGGGCTTTAATCGGATTTCAATAAGAACGGAGCAGATCCCAGATCCAGAGGATTCCAAATTGAATCGGATTCTAATCGGATTTCAATAGGAACGGAGCAGGTCCCATATCCACAGAACGCCTATTGAGTTTGATCAAGCTCGTGATCATACTTCAATAGGAAGAGCAGATCTCAGATCCTCCTCCTCCTCATTTTCCTCATGAGAGAAAGACTACGAGCGGCCGCAGCAGGCGAGGAATACTCGTTCTCTCTCTCTCTCTCTCTCTTTCTCTCGCTCTCTCTCTATATTCCCCTTCTGTCTTTCACGCAGATGCGGAGAGGAGGAGGAGAGAGGAATAGGATGAGAGAGGAACTAACTCTCACCCCCATCTCCATCTCTCTCTCTCCCCTTCTGTCCGTCTCTCTGTCCATCTCTCTCTCTCTCTCTTTGTGTGTCTCTCTCTCTCTCTCTTTTCTTTCTCTCTCTTTCTTTCTCTCTCACTCTCTCTCTCTCTCTCTAACTAAAAGGGGGGGAGGAGGAGAAGGAGGAGAAGATGGAGAAGGAGAGAGAGGAGAGGAGAAGGAGGAGAAGTAGAGAGAGAGGAGAAGGAGGAGAAGGAGGAGAAGGAAAATGACGCGGAGGAGAAAGAGGAGGATGAGGATAAGAGAGGAGGAAGAGAAAGATGGTCGTTGGGGGGTGCTGGGGGGGGGGGCGAGCAAAAATATGATTGGGTTTTTTCTCCGGTCTCATATGTTTGTGGTGTGCAGTTCCTCTTTGAGTCGTGGGCTCCCAATTGTGCCCTCAAAAGTGTTCGCAGTTGGCCTTTGCGTGCACGCGTGTCTACAGTCAGCTCGTATCAGAAGGATGCGCGGTAAGGATGCAACGGCCTTGAACGGCCACGCCAATGCTTTTCGAACAAGATTGGCCGACGAAAGTGGCCAAGGATGGACCGAGTAGGCAATGATGCAAGAGTACTCCCACCACCACTCCTCCTCCTCCTCCTCCTCCACCTCCTCCTCCTCCTCTTCCTTCTCCTGCTCCTCCTCTTGCTCCTCCTCCTCTTTCTCCTCCTCCTCCGTCTCCTCCTACACCTCCTCATCCTGCTTCCCTCCTCCTCCTCCTCCTCCTCCTCCTCCTCCTCCTCGGCATGCGCCGCGCGATATTGCCACTCGGGGGTCTCATTGGCCCGCCGTGCCCCGTGGGCCTGCCGGGGAGGCCCCAAGGGCGCCCCCCGAGGGGCCACCCACTGGGCAGAGGGCGCCTGCCCTCGTCGCGTCCCCGGCCCCGGGAGCTCTCTTGCTCGCAGGCCTCCCAGATTCGTGCTGCTCCCATGGCGCGCAAGGGACCACGTCCCA